GCAAGTGTATTTGTCGAATGAATCTGTGTGAGAAAGAGGGGGACACTAATGAGCCCCAGAGTGGATGACTCTTGTGGTGTTATGTTTTTGTTGTAAAACCCCCAAAAATAAAATAAAGGCTCAAATGAAGCCCAAGGGGGGAAAAAAGTACCTTGTTTACTTTCCATGTTGCTCCTTTTATTTTTTATACTAGCCTTGTGGTCTACAATTGGACTGTCCCCGTGGTTTTATGCACCCCGCATAATTTAGCTAAATTTGATTTTTTTGGGGGCGTAATTTCTGATTATTTTCCTTTATCATTCTTTGTTAAAATTAACAGAATCACATAATTTCACATTTTTGGGCATAATTTCAGAATTTTCATTGCATAAAACGTTTACAAGTTGTAGGTGAGTACCTCGTTTACTTTCCACTTTGCTCCTTTTATTTCTTATACTAGCCTTGTGGTCTACGATTGGACAAACGCGCATCACTTTACGGGAATGAACGGCGCTGCTGTCTGTGGCGATGTGGAGTCTGTGGTCATCCCATTTCTGCTTGCTGTTTCCGTTACTTTATTCTCTGTACCATGCTAGCTATCTACGGCGATGTAGCATCTGTTATTTTGTCATTCTATACTGCTTGCTGTTTTCGTTACTTTATTCTCTGTACCATGCTAGCTGTTTACGGTAGTTACCAAAGACTAGAACTTTTCCTCATCGGATGTTAAAATCGTCATGTTCATGATGTACGAACGTTTATAGATGGCATGCAAAAAAGTGGAACAAAACCTGTTCTGGTTTTCTAGTTATCATAAATAAAACCCCTGCTCAGAAGAGAAAAAAAAAGAAAAAAAAGAAAAGAAGAATAAGTAGTCCTCGTCCTCTTCTCCGTCCTGGCTACGACACAAGCAAACCGTGAGTAGTTTTTGGAAAACTAGAACTTTAACGTGTTGTAAGTGCCGTTAGTGTTGAGCTGCCAATATCTCGTCGTAGCTACATAGAACAAGGACGCTAATATTTAGCAACAGAAAATTCATCAAGTGCTATGTCCGCTACTATTTTACTAATCAGTTAGCACAATGAAGTCTTATTACCTGTAACTTAGAGAATGATATATCATACTTTGGAAGACCGATGGTCAAATGGCGCCAATGTTTGCGCTGTTAACGTGGCTACGATCGCCATGGAAAAGTCTACCTGCGACGTGGCCGGAGCAAGGTTAAAACGACCGCTCACTTTAAGAGTAGGGGGGGGGGGGGGGGGGGAGAGAAAAAAAATGATGCCGACTGTTTGTTCCTTCGCACAAAAGCTGTTTGCTTTTCTTTCTCAGCGACTGATTACCTCTGGGTGAGACAAAGGATTATTTTTCATCTTTAGTGCTTAGGAAATAATCTCGTTTTTATTGTCTGCCTTACCTAGCCTCATTTCTAACTCCTCCAGCGCAGGGGCGAAGCGTCTATATAATCAAATAATCACTGCTTCCCTTTCTAATTTTGAAACATTGTCGCTGTCAAATTCATCCTTAAACGTAAACCTCATAAATTAAATGTCAAAAGACGTTCGTAATCAACAAATAAAGTGAGGCTGGAATAGAGTTGAAGGGAACATGTGCATGGCAGTCAAAGCTGTTTCATTGCCACATATACCCTGTTCACCCCTTTGGGGCCACAGTTAAAATCAATCACCAACCCTGATTAAGTAAGCTAACTAACACTGGTCGAGTCTACCTCACAAATGTGAGGGGAACTAACTCTTAATAATCTCTTGACTGCTGCTTGTGCTTGTTTTTTTTCCTCGACTTTTTACCGTCCTATAATCAGATCGTGACCTCGATTATGACACCAGCTCCTGGCCGCGAAAGGCTAACAAAAACAGCCAAATGTGAAATTAAAAAAATAATAATTGTCGTGTTCTACCAAAGAGTTAGACTCACTGGTAGATCTATAACATATAGATCTAGTACTGACATCTCTGCTTCTTTGCTTTATGTTTATGTATTCACATCTAAAGTTAAGTTTAATTTTAGTGGGAACTGATATTTAATAAGATACTTTCCCGATTATTTTGGCGGTTGAACATACAATATGAATTCCGGATTTGTATTCATTCACAACTCAGAGTCGCCGCCTCGAGTAAGATTCTTGTGTGATATCTACAGGCCCTATCTGGTCCCATTTCACTTTGATTACCCTGTCAAACAAGTCAGCCTTCGCCCCTGCTCCAGCGGAACAGGATGTGTGCGGTGTAATCAGGGTGGAAAGTTGGAGCTATAAGTACGCCGAGAAGATAGTACAAGATGCTTCGTATGTCCTCAACATGACCGTCGTAGATCGGCAGTCCGCGGCTGCGTGTACCCTGGGGGAATCCTTCGGCTACCAGAAAGCCACACTTTGGGTGGATCACGGCTGTCGTGCTGACTTCAAAGTTTGCTATCTCCCAGGTACGTTTTACGGTACTTCCAACACAATGTCGCACGTCTCAAAGATTAAGTGTTTATAAGAGGGTAAAAACCATAAAAAAAGGTGAGACAAGAACGTTTGATAAGGTAGGAGCAAACAATACCAGAACCTCCAAACTATCCACATCTCCCAGGTAAGGACACTGATCTGTATCTAAAATCCAAATGTAAGGCGCAGACTATTTTATTGTTCTTTACGACAAATGCTCATTTTTTCTTACTCAAATTGAGTTAATAGTGCCGTAAAACACTACTCAATCAATCAATCTTTTAAAAAAATTTCACAGCGTTTCTTAAATGCTTCATAGGCGCGAAAACCTAGATTGAACCGTATCTCGTGAAATGTTTACATCATTTCAGAAAATGTACATCTAATTATTTTTTTATATAAAAACCGCCTCATTCGACTCCTCAGTGAGGCCGACCGAGTGCCAAGTACTCAGGGTGGAAAGTTGGAACTACAAGTACGCCGAGAAGAAGGTGGCCAGAGCTGCATTGTTCATTGACATGACCGTGGAAGATCGGCAGTCCGCCGCCAGTTGCGATCTGGATAAATCCTTCGGCTCCTACAATCAGAACTCCACAGTGTGGGTGGACCATGGTTGCCGTGCCGACTTCAATATCTGTTATGTCAAAGGTAGGTGTGACGCCAGTAAAGCAGAATATTTTACGAGATGTAAGACAGCCTGCGAGAACAAGGAATGTACTGTTTTGACATTTGGACAGTTTGCTACGAACTGGGTATTCTGAATCGAGGTTCTTTAAAAAACTCACGAACTGGCAATTCGGTTCAAGTTCCCACATGACTTGCATTTATTGGCACAATTTATCTTGGATTACTTAGAACCGCACTTTGTCTTGGCTCGTACTTTCTCTAGCACGGTGTGCTTATTGAGAAGTTCACAACTGGTATAACTTCTGAGTGACATTAAAAAACAGAACTAGTGCCGTAAAACGCCTGCTCAAACGACATTAAGTAAATGTACATTGTACATACTGTTTCTCTGCGTTCTTTCCTCTTTGCTTCCAACTGGATCACTGCTCCAACCTTGCACAAGAAACATTTCTTTTCTCCAAAATGTCATTCCTAGTGGGTTGTTGGCGGGTGCTTTGGTTTGCTCCTTCTTTCCTGTCAAACATCTATCCTACTGTATCGTACTGATCTCCTTTTCTCTCTTGTTACTCTCGTAACTCCTAACCTTCGGCACTTGTTTATCTTATTGTATTGCAATTGCTGTAAAACTCCAAACCTAAACTGTATCCACAACTAAATAACTATCTACGGTCTCCAGGCGCCACCAGCACCATTACGGTAAACGTGAGCAGCTGGAACTACAAGTACGCCACCAAGATTCTCCCCTCCGCCTCCTGCATCTACTCCATGCAAGTCGCCAAGCAACAGTCCGCTGCTCCCTGCACTCTCGGAACCACTTATGGTTTTATGGCCAATACCATGTGGGTCAGCGATGGCTGCAGAGCTGACTTCAGCGTCAGCTATTATTCCCCTTACACTTAAAGATGTCAAATGTTGACAAAATGCTGTAATAAAAAGTTATTGGAAACGAATCCTTGCAAGGAGTTTGTATTTCTTTGGGGTTTTTTTGTTGGCTGACGTCTCCTAATGCTCAAGCTGGGTTTTTATTTTTCTAATCGCCTTTTTGTGACTCCTTTTTGTGACTCTTTTTATAAAGTAAAGGAGAGGTTTACCGGAAAGGGTAGTGGGTTATTGATGGGTGTTCTTATATGGTTTGTGCCTTTCCGGTCCAACATCAACGTCCTTATAGCTCCCCCTTTTTACGTTTGTTAAGGTACAAATACAGTGGAACGGCCTTTCAGCCCCTTTCGCCAACAAAAATGTGAGGAAAGGGAGGCGAATGGGAAGGAACCTGAAGCGAGAGTGGATTCGCCCTCCTCCCCTCATCCTTTTCCTATTGCTCTATGAAGCTGTTGTTGCTGCATTAGTTAAAACGACGTGAAATTTCACGTTGATATTGGGTTCATAGAATCAATGAACTCCGAGAAGCATTTGTGAGGCATCGTGATGGAATCAGGCGCTCGTCAATTTTTGGGCAAGTTATTGGTATCATTTTTGTCTTTATTTGGATGAAAAAAATATCTATTTATTTTGAATAGAAGTCGAGATATTTGCGAATGAAGCAGGTGGGGGTCACCTGTTTTCAGAGGTAAAGTTAGTGAGAAATTGGCCGCCAAAGATTAGTTATTTCCTTAGCTTAAGAGTCCGTGGTAACTGAACATTCACATTTTTGTGTGAATTTAATTAACATTTTTCACAAAAATCGGTACAGAAATGAGTTCGTTAATGGGCTTGAAAAGTGTTTAGCCTAAAAAAACCCAAAAATTTGATAAAAATTCACGAACTTGCAGAAAAATGCAAGTTTCTTCATTTTGATTATTTTGACGAGAGCCTGATCGCATCACGCTGCCTCACATTTACTTTTTGCAAATATCATTTAGATCTGGTAGATAAGGTCGCGGCCGTAGTGCGGCAGGCATTCTGCTGCAGGTTTCCCCACTACACGCGACTGGTAACCTGTCAAGCAGGGTTGTATGACAAGTGGCACTAGTGACGACTTAAGAGCAGGGGTCCACAGCGTCCGCACTCACGTTTCATCACTCTTCATCACAAATTACGTACCTTAACGTAGCGGGTAGCCGTGTCCACAGCGTTCTCACATGTACGTTATTTTTTTTTCTGCGCGCCAGACCTAGATTTAGAGAAATGGCGTTAACAAGGAAGAATTTTTTTTTATAGTGGTAGTTGGAGAGGAGGTATATATGCAAGGTCACCGCCGATTCTGGGTACATCCCATATGCAAAGAACGAGGCAAAACAGGTCGGGAGAATTTAAAATGTTGCACCAAATTCTTGATGATAACGAAACACGCTTAGCATATTTTTGAATGACGAAGGCAAGCTTCCAAAGCCTTTTGGAATTATGTAGACCTCATAAAAATTCAAAAACAGAATACGAACTGGAGGAAGGAAATTTCACCAATTGAAAGGCTGACAGTTACACTGATGTAAGCTGTTGCTACTGCTGTTGCTGCTTGATGCTTCTATTGTTTTTGCTGTTGTTGTTGTTGTTCTTTTTTTCGCTGTTGTCATTGTAGTATATTATGACTTACGTAAATGGTCTCCACCATATCCGTAATTTAAGTAAGAGCCCACTCTGTGCCTCCCAAAGAGCGTGATTTTTTTTCAGGCACATTTGTTTACTTCGAAAAATGGGAGCAGAAATAAACAAATTATTACAAAACAACTTGATATTATAGTCTATAGAAATTCTGAATAACAAATTCAATAATTAACGTCGATGTAAACTTTATTGACTATTCTTAAATCAACATGTCAAACGAAGAAACAAAACAAAAAGAAACCCCCACTTGGAGACTGAGAATACTGAGATCAAAGTCAAGTGGCATTAATTTAATTTTAAAGGTAAAAGTTGGCAAACAAAAGATAATCAACGAAATCAGTGTCGGTGAAGCCACAGCACGGACGGAAAATGTTTGACATGCTAGACGTTAAACGTTTTTCACGTAAGCATGAGGGAGCGTGTCGTCCGCAGTGGGCCCAGGTCCATATAGAAATAAAAGGTTGAACGCTTCCATACGCACTTTGTGAGTACGTTAGCGTACAAAAGCGGAGTGAGTGGACCCTGGCTCTTAAAACATGCCTTTCAGCAGGCTCAGAGACTCAGAGGTAAATATGAACATTTTATATGGTCTAGCGAACATGTCTGAAGATGGATTTATGCTACTGGACAGTTCGTTATTGTTGAGGTCTGTGAAGAAGACCGAAGTACATAATGTACACCCAATAAATTAAGACGGCAAATTGGTGCACATTTTCTGTGAATTGAAAAAGGAATCCTGGCAATTGAAAAAGTGGTGTAATCTTCATGATCCAATTTTTCCAGAGGAAAGGCTAGTTATTACTTTGTGGTTAGTGTAAGTGTTATGTTACTATTTTCAGTTTATAATTTTCTAAATCATTATAGTCATATCACTTATCATCATCACCACCATCCCCCATCCCCCCCCTCTCTCTCTCTCTCTCTCTCTCTCTCTCTCTCTCTCTCTCTCTCTCTCTCTCTCTCTCTCTCTCTCTCAAATCAATGCATGCTAACAATAAAAAATAACATGATAGATACAGTTCAACCTTGTGCAATGTGGGGCCAATTAGTAAAACCCAAAACAATTAAAGTAAAAAATTTAAACGAGAAAAGCCAATGATTTCTTAATGAATGTTAACTTTTTTTTGTTTCTGATATACAAAGGAAAACATTCATGTCCAGGACCGAATTTTTGCATAACCAGCTGCGGGCAAGAATTGCCAAGACATTCCGGTAAAATTGCTGCGCGGGTTGCCCGCAACCAACAGCTGGTAACACGCGTTAACTTCGGACGGTTTCGAACTAAACGAAAAACATTTCTCAAAGCTGGCATCTGCAGGCTAACCTGTAGCAGAAAACCTTGCGCACACTAACCTTTTTGTAAATCATATTTTTGTAGAATATATGGGCACCTGCGTAAAAAATGTATACTGACCAGGCGCGTTTCGTCCATAGAGCACAGTCGTGCAGTGCCGCCCAAAGATTTTAATGATTTATTATGAAAAGTACATACACACATGAAATAAAAGAAGCCAGAAAAAAACACTAGCCAAATGTTATATCAAAACAAGGTCCTCGCTAGCGCCGCCAAACGCGCCGTAAAACATCTACTATGCCATGCCAAGTCCACTCGCTTTAACTAAACATAATAGGACATTCAACTGTGGCAACATGACCTATAAATCATTCTTTGGGGTAACCAAAGCGATGACGACACTCGTAGCGAGTTTGGCGGTACATTAATATTAATAAGACGGCACATCTCAAATGTGCACCCAAGAAACATAGCCCACAGTAGGCATGATCCCCTGAGCAACCCAGCAGAGTGCTCAAGTGAATTGTGATTGGTTCCTTGTCTTGCCACTATTATAATTAAGTGATTCTGTGACCGTGTACCTGAGAGAGGTGAACGTGACAAAGATCTACTTTAGTTTAGTCACCGTCCTATGAGTTATGCTTTTGAATGGTTTTGTAGTGGAGTAGTGAAAGTTATTGAGTGTTTAGTTCCAATGCAGGATAAAGAAATTGGTGTTTAGCTAATAGATTTACGTGTAGTTCTAGAAATCACTGCAACAAATAAAAAGAATGAAAACAATGGCATAAGGTCCTCCTTCACCAACCTAAAGATCCTACCGTCCCATTTACTATGCCCTTGACTATGTTCAACCTGCACGCCCATTTTTTAGCCCCACGAACCGCCCCTGATACAGCACTGACCTCACAAACGGGCTTAGCTCTAGTATTATTATTAGTCGAATAATATTTACGGTTGACCACTTTCTAATAATAATGTGTACATTTGACTCCATCTCTGTACCTGATAATCAGAATCTAGACATTGACACACGTTGGGAAAGCGCACTGTGGTCAGAGCAGCCAAAGTTTGTTGGTTCAACCAAACAACAATGTGCGATCGTGAAAGATGTTGTTCACACAATATTTTGATCCACAAATCCTCGAAAATATGAATTTTACGTCGGCAATATTCCCAATTCAATACCAGTATTTACAAACACACACACACACACACACATACA